TGAAGCACTAGTGTCCATTAAAACATGCCTAAGATGTTTATAAATAGTATACATACCCTGAATCACATCTGGATTGGCTTCGACGTCCTATTTGGTAAGCGTGTAGACTCTGCCCTGAACTGTGGGCCTAGCCTGGTTATGATTTCTTATACACTCTCTCACAAAATATTGAGTACTTCCACATATATGGCAGGTGTTGTTGAGACGATAATAAGGCTGGTCCCTATAATCTTTGCCATAGTGTTGGTAAATCTGAACACGTTCTGCTATCGGGGCTTTGGGAGAAGTCTGAGGTATGGAACTTGGTCTCTTGTTCTGTTGGTTCGATGCAGTTGATGTTGACCTACGGTGCAGGATTGGGGGGCTAGAGTTGCCCACTGCTGAGGAAGAAGTCTAGATATTTCTCTCACTCAGTTATGTCTTGGCTAAAGCTGCCAAATATATGCTGAGCTCAAATATATACAATTATTATCTAATCTCAGGGCAAAGGTTCTCATTCAAACCTCCTCACCTTCCTACTTTCATCTGTCATACTGTCGGGGGAGTATCAGCCCAATTCAAGGAACTTCCGAGTATACTTTTAATTGACAAGTTTTCTTGAACTAACTGTGCAAACTCTATTTCTTTTAGGTGTTGAAGGTGCTCCGGAAGGTACTTAGCATTGAAGGCCATTAAAAACTATTCCCATGTGACAGGAATGGAAAAAGTAGCCTGTTTGAGTTGCCACCAATGTCATACCTCACCCACGAACATATATATGGCAAAGATGACCTTCTATTCGAGATTCACCCCAAGTGTCACGAAAGCCTTCTCGGTATCTACCAATCAGTACTTGACTTTCTCAAAAGTAAATGATCATGTAAAAATAGATGAGTTAAATCTCTTGTACCATTCGATGTAACCCGAGTCTATCATGGGTGGAGTTAGGTCCTACTAGAGGGGAACTAGATTATACTGAAGAGGGGCTGTGGAGGCACTGGATTGTACTATGTAGGTACTAGATTACACTATGAAGGTACTGGATTGTATTGTGGAGGAATCGAATTGTACTATAGAGATACTGGGTTATACCATGGGGGTACAGGGTCCTCTTGATGTGGAGATAGTTCATACTGTGATAGGGGTGGAGGGGGATCAGACAACTCCCTTCTCTCCTCCCTAGCATGCTGAGCAGAAATCAACATCTTGAGCATTTTGAAGAATCGATCAACGTTCTCTCGTAATAATCTCTCTTGAGCTGCTCTATTCACTGGGGCCTTCTTCTCCTCATACTTCCTTACCTACATCACATGATAATAACTTTATATTTAAATTGTTTTGAGGTTCACTCATAACATACATTAAATTATTTCAGCTTTATGTACAAGAAATGATTCTGAGGAAGATGGCTCTAATACCAACTGTAAAAGTCTGAAACCTCTATTAAGGATTTTGAGTATTTAGCATGATAATATTAATATAGTGATACTAAAATTTTCATTACATATAAGAGTTTTAAAAATTTAAAAGTTACATTTCTTGCACGTTAACTTATAATACCCAAAGGGCCTATTAGAATGTTTTAGAACCTAAAATATAAAAACTACTGCAAACCAATAATTAAACTCAATTCAAGTCTAGCGGAATGAAAATGAATAACATCCTAGCTATTTTTTCACTATTCGAGATCCAGATTTTGTTCGTCTTGATCTGAAATGGTTAGTAAGAAAGAAATGAGTTACACTATCTCAATAAGAATATCAAAAATCTTATCACTGATACAGTAACCAAAGTGTTGTAGAAAATCATAAAACAACCGATGGAGTATACATTTTTAATGAAATCTGAATGCTAATGTACTCCTTATCCATTTTTACTAAAAACATTATTATTTCCCTTTCTTACTCACAATCTTCTAAACACAATACATTAAAATATAATCATAATCATAATTAAATCATAGTAAACATGCAATTCAGTAAATATATAACCTTAGATTCTTTACCATCTTACCCAAACTAGGGTTAGTTGCCATCTCCATTTCTGTTATATTTTTATTTTTATTTCCACTATCGGTATCGCTAGAGGCCCATAGGGATTCTTGATACACGTGGATATATAAATATTTTCTTTATAAATCACTGGCCGTCCCTATATCCCGTCTGATAATGGGCACCACAATCAAAGACCGTCTTAATATTCCGTCAGATATAAGCGTAATTTTTTAACTCCTAACGTCATGCGGTATGGGACTTCCCAGCCCTGTACGACTAAAGATACATCCATGGTAGAGTTCATCCTATGTACCAAGTCCATACACTCTTTCTCATGATACTCGGTAAACCTTTGACTCATGCCATCATTTTATGCATGTACATATTTCACTGTTATTCAAACAATAAATAACCATAAGATTTGTACATTAAATTATACAAGAGGATGTAATCCATGTTTCGGTACCCAATAAAAATAAACGTTAAATAAAAGTGAAATAAGGTGGTAAAATATGATAAAAATTTCCTACATTGAAATAACATAAATAATTAAACAAAATGAATAAATTAAGGCAATGCATAATAAAATAAAATACAAGAATAAAGCTGAATGAAATAAACTAGAACAAAATAACACAAAAAAATAAAACGGAATAAAGTAAATTATAACAATTCAAGATATGTGATTAATATGTTGATTCTAGATTAATATAACGAAATAAAAATGAAAACAAAATAGACTAACTGAATAAAAATAGAAAATTGAAAGATAAATAAATAAAGAAAACGAAAATAAAAATAAAACTAATAATGGACAAAAACTAAATCGATTAACTAACTCCATCGACAATCTATAACTAATAATTGATTAACAAGCAAATGGTTAGATTCATATTTGTTCCTCGATTAAGACTTCGATTTAACCATAACAGAGGAAAGGGTTGAGTATTTTTACCTCGAATTGAAGGCCAAAACATCGTTTCTCTCAACTATAATTTACGACAGCCCGACTCTCGAATTTTAAATTTTTTTGGTGGAATCAAGGAGTTTGCGTTAAAGTGATGTGAAAACAAGTAAAAGGCAGTAAAACAGGAGCAAGAATACACACTGCGTTGATTTAGGGTTCCGACACGGTGGCACAACCGAGCTCTGCCGTCTAGTTCTTCTTTCCCGACGTTTCTCTCTCTCAGTTATGTCGAATCCTAGTGGAATTATAGTCGAAATCAACTAAAAATGTAAAAGGGAAGGGTTTTACAGAGAAAGGAGGAAAAAAATCAGGCTTACCAATGTCGGTTAGGTCTCCAGCACGGTGGCCCCACTGTCGCTCTGTCGCCTGCGCTCTCTCCATTCGACTGTTAGTTAGGGTTTGGGAGGCCGACTGAAGAGAGTTTTAAATATCTCTCTATATTTAATCTCAGTCGTCCGATCGGGCTAATGTGGCGAGGTAAAGCCATCCAATCGGGCCCACTTAAGGGAAATCTGACTTTTTCCTCGAGTGATCCTGATCGTTGGATCGGCTAGCCCCTCAAATCTGAGTCGTTGATCACGCGGGGTGTTGGATCGATGCGTGGTTCATCCAAGTCGTTCGTTCAAATTCAGGCGGGCATTAATATGGACCATCCGTGCATGCGGTAATGATTACAAGCCGTTCAATCCTCCTGGCACGCAGATTGCTAGGGTAGGCTTTCCGCATGGAGTCTTTGTCGACGCTGCTGCCAGGCGACGCGTGGTAACTCGTTGCATTGCTGACTGGGTTTTACGTGACTCGTTTCCTAGAATTTTTATAATGACCCCTGATCATTCAGATTTTCTTCAAACAGACCCATTTTTATCACAGAATGACCCTAACTAAGAAATTTTATTTTTCAAAAAGATTCCCAAATGAATTTTAGTTATTATTTTTGTTTTATTTCATTTTAATTTATTTTTCTTATCAGTTATTATTATTATTTAAAAAGAAATCTATTTCATTATTAAATTAAAAACAAATAATAAATTAATTAGGAGGTTATAGAAAGGAGACGAGGTATGAAAATCCATAATGCATGAAATTTAAGTAGTTCATAGTACTCCTCCTTGGATGTTCATTAATTATCCATTTAGCTACCTTTGGGTAATGTTTAATTCAACAGTGTAAATTTTAATTAATTCAAGTATTACACGATCAAAATCATAATTAAGAAGAGCACTCGTTCTTCTCTGTTTAATGACAAAGCTAGAGAAGTCTGTTTACTTGTTATAGCAAATTTACACCAATTGAATCACTATCAGCTAAATAATAATAATAATAATAATAAATTCTATATCTAGTTCCTTACGTGTATATATACATAAATAAAATATAAAACATATGTAAAAAAAAATGTGGCTGTATATATATATGTAAAAAAAAAAAAAAATAGGTGTATAAATGCTAATATAAATTATATTAGATCTAATATAGATTTAAGTCAAAAGAGATTTTGTGATATGAGTTATAACTGAACCTGTAGAAAACATTTTGTAAGTAATTAAAATGAATTTTTAGGATTAAGACAATGAATATATGCCACTTAGAAAATAACTCACAGTATTTAATTAATTTTCTCCCTTAAATCCTTTAATTTATTTTTCTTTTTTACTTTTTTTTTTTTAATGATTTTTGAACGAAATATGTAGAATTGTATACTAATTTTTATCTTTTTAAACTATTTTTATAAATTTATAGAACTGTAAACATTTGATCATTTGTTTTTTCTTCACATTTTATTTATCATGTAGATTCTTTAAGGAACCACAATCTTTTTATATTTTTATATAAAATCTTTTTATTTATATTTAAAATATATACTTTTTTTTTTTTTAATTATAAAAATTCAATTTCACATAGATTTCTAACAATAAAATAAAAAGTTAATCGGTTAATAGCGAAGGGCTTAAAATTAAGTGGTAAAATTTAAATTTGTCAATAAATTTTGACAATTGTGACCCCACTAGTTTTGATTGTGCCGGGTGCCCCTTAATTTGGCTCTTGTCACCATTGCTGGCTATGGAAGAGATGATGACACAAAAAAGAGAAAAAAGTAGTAAAAAAAGCTCATCAAGAAGAAAAAGAAAAAGTATGAACATGATTCTCATATGCCTACATTTCTCATAACATGTAATCATTGTTGTTTTCTTCACTTTTTTTTTCCCTCTTTATTTTTTGGTTTTTAGATAACAATATTTTAAGTATATAAATCACTAGAAGTGAATTCAATTTAAATAAAATTGGAGTCTTCCCGTACTACTTTGATCTTATACTTCCAACTTCAATGCCAATCTCTCCTAAATCCATGCTCGAAAAGCCCTTTGATTTTCGTGCCCCGCCTCCATCTCCAATTGCCTCCGGCCGTAGATCTTGTGTCACAAATGATGATGTCCTTACTGAATTTCTTGAACACTCACTTAGAGTCCCCAATTTAGTTTTGCCTGATAGAGCTTTTCCTAAGCAAAAATTCATTGAAAACCCTCCAAAGATTGATTTTCAATTATTGACTTTTTCGCAAACTCAATTAATTCAAGAGGTTCTGAATGCTGTTAACACAATCGGGTGCTTTCAGCTCGTCAACTATGGAATTTCAAGTGAGTTTATAAAATCCGTGTTGACAATAGCTGCTGAAATCTTTCAAGTGCCTTCAGAAAAGCAAATTGCAGTAACGAAATCATTCGAGAAACCATATGGGTATGGGGAAGGTCACGACGAGGAGGAGAACCAATTTGCTGAGGAGTTTATTTGGTGTAGAGATGAAAAATTAAAGCTGGACATGGAGAGAATTTGGCCAGTTGGGTATTCAAATTTCAGGTAATCGACATACATGTACATTTTTCTGTATATTTAGAATTCTATTTCAATTAAACTATATTAATCATTAGCTAAAAAAATTTAACATGTGAAAAAATCAAAGTGTAAAATACTATACTATATTAATACGGTACCATTCAAGTTCAATTTTAGCTAAGTTTTATAACAGAAGATGATGAAAAGTTATCTAATATCATACATGATTTGAATATGCAGTGAGAAAATGGATATACTAATGTGGAATATAGAGAAGATAGGGGAGAAAATTATACAGGTTGTGAAAGAAAATTGGAGTGTTGGGAGAGATGATAAGATGGAGAAACAAGAAGCTCTTGGTTCAGTTTGTTATGTGGAGAAGCATAAGGTTTTGAATGAATGTGAATGGGTGAAATATGATGTGATAAGAATGGTGATAAGAGGAATTGACTACTACTCACATGCTTTGGGTTTGCACATATGTCATGGCTCTTCACTCTTTCATGTTTACTCCAAGAAAGCCTGGTTCTCTTTCTGCCCAGATCAACATTCTTTGCTCGTCACTATTGGAGATCAAATTCAGGTTAATCATTACTTTTGATATACATACATATGTGTTTATAATTTTCCATCTATGAATCATACACTTTTGATATAATCATGTTATAGGTAATGAGTGGTGGGCAGTACAAGCATGTGATGGGCAGGCCCATTTATAAAGCTGAAAAGGAGGATTTTATTTCAATGGCGTTTCTTTATTCGCCTCCGTCCAGAAGCCCAAACCAAAAGAAGGAGAAGACTATTTCAATCTCCCAACAAGCTATGCTATTCATAATTTTAACCCTTGCATACCATTTTTCACTTTATCTTTACCACAATTTCTGATCTTTATTACACATTTATTTATTTATTTATCACATTCTTACGTTCCCAGATTCCTATTTTAATTTCCCATCTTTTTTTTTTTTGTAATTAAGTTTATAATGTCATGAAAAATATATTAAATTTACCAATGTGAGATCACTATATTACAATTTTGGATTGCACTTGTCCAAATTCTATTTCTGTTAAACATAAGTAGAAATGTAATACAAATAAAAAAAAAAAGGTTTAAATAAAAATGATATTATAATTTTTAAGTAAATTCTATATTTAATTCAATCTTTTGTGAATGTATTTATGTGCAAATGCCGAATTAAAAATGTCATAATCGCACACAAAAAACAGAGAGTCCAGATTTGGACAGAACTGTAGACTTTTTTTGGGCACTTCCTCCACCCGTAATGAATTTGTCCAAGTCACCAAGAAAGCAGTAAAATATTGATATGTTGGACTTTGCATATGTTTTGAATTATATTAGATTCTTATCTCGTATTATAATTTTATTAAAAAATTTTAATCAATTGTAGACTTTTAATTCTAGTAAAAGTTTAATTGTTTATTAGATAATTGATATCTATAAAAATGTATTTAAAAATTATTATATGAACTCAAAGTAAGAAAAGTGTTTATATTACTTAAGTCATTAAAAATATGTTGTAAAAATATCGTTATTTAATTAATACTAAAATTTATGAAATATAAATAAAAATATTATAAAATAGATAAATTTTTAACTAAATATTCATATTTCTATTTCATAATATCTTTTAACACTCTCTTTCGTGAAACAATATATATATATATATATATGTAATTAAAATACGACGATTATTTTTTTATTATTTAAATTAATTTAATTGATAAAAATAAATTATACAATCAATATTTAAATTTAATTATTTATTGAATTAGAATAACAAAAAACGCACATTATGAAATCCTTTTTTTTTTTTTTTTTGTAATTACATCAATCACTAATATATAAACCTAGAAATGCAAGAGAAGTAGCTTGAGGAATAAAAACAACAATATTTTATTTTTTAAATTCCGCAAGAGATGACATGAGAAAATTTATTACAAATTCAAATGCTATCATAAAATGATGGATAACCATCAATCAGTTCTTAATCAACTGGTTACATTTTTACTTTTACTTTTAAAAAAAAAAAAATTGTTAATTAAGTAATTTCTTTATAGTAATAAAAATCTCAATATCTAAGCTAATATGTAAATCAGAACAATTATAAATAATTTATCAACTTAAAATATTTTAATTGCAAGAAATAAGAATGAAAAATAATTCTTCTGCAATGTGATTGTCATTTACGTGGATGAAAATAGAGAAAACTTGTTTTTACTTTTTTATTTATTTATTTATTAATATTAATTACCGGTTCTTAAAATAATATTTGTTTTAAATGAATTATTAGAATTATTAATTATCCTTATAATTTAGATATTTATTTAATAGGATAGTTTTTGAAATTTTATGACGTCATATTTAATTATTACTGAACTTAACCCGCACCGTTTCTTCTTCCTGATTCCCTCTCTGGCCACTAGTCTCTCTACTCTCAACCAAGGCTCTCTGTGCTGCACGACTTCCGAAAATTAACATGGATGGAATTGATTCTTTAGATTCTCTCCCTGAATTCACCTTAGCTGAGGTAACTTCGTAGTATCATTTGCTCTCTCTGCATTCAAATTCTCCATTTTCAATCCCACAACTACTTTCTTTTTCTGAGCTTTTGGTTGCATTCAATAACATACTCTGATGATAATTTTTCGTTTTTTCTGTGGCAAGATTCTTGAAATGGAGAGTATGTTCAAGGAAATAGCAGAAGAATCCTTGAATCGTGAAGTCTGCCAAGGGCTTGCTACCAGTTTTAAGTATTTAAAATCCAATTTCTTGTGCTTGAAATTTGAAAACATGAAAGCAGCAAATTTAAATAGAAAACTTGGGTTTGCTTTCCACGAACATTTTATTCTTACCCATTGTGTTTTTGCTTAGCAGTTGCTCGCCTAATCGGATTGGAAAATCTGCAATTCTTTGGCAACAGGTCTTTTCTTTACAGTGGAAACGTCATCTGTTTTTCCCTCAAAATTTGTCTCTTTTTTTTTTTTTTAATAGATTTTATCGTTGTTTAAATGGGTTTCTTTTTTAAGGTGCATGCTTGGTTTATGGATAAATATAAATCTAAAACAGCAATGACGCCTATGCCTATGAAGATGCGTTTTGAGTCTATTGACTTCTCCTGTGAGAATACTGCTGGTGATATATCTCAAACTTCACGAAAGCCTAGAGGTTGTTCTCTTTCTGTTTTCAGCTTTTGATTTTATGTATTCAATAATTTGTTATATAGTTTCTTGTAATTCTTTGTGCTTTTTTCATTCATTGCATTTGCTTGGGCACAAATACCGGGTTGGTGTTGCTTGCTAGCTTAAAATGTTAATCTTGTACCGTTAATATGTATAAGACTATGTAGAACTTAAGCCAATGAAAAGAATGCAAATAATCTTAGCTTGAGGCTTTATATCAACAAAGACACTGTGCAAGCTATCATCAAGGTTTGGGTTTATAACAATTACCAAGATCATGAAGTAGGACTTTGAGTTGTACCATTTTCATATATTTGTAAAACAGATATAACATTTTGACAAGTATGCAATACCATTGAGTGTGCAGGTAAGCCCTCAGATATTGCAGAGTTATCATTTGAGGCTAGATCCTCCAGA